CTAGTAATGCCAGGAGCCCCTAGTAGCGTCCTTGCTCCTACTAGTAAGGCACTTGTTACTAGAAGCGATGCACTTGTTCCTAGTAGCTTCTTGTTACTACTAGTAATGCCAGGAGCCCCTATCCTTGCCCCGTTCGTAGCGATGCCTTTTGCTCCTGGTTCCGGGTAATTCCGGCTGCGTCGGCACCGACACTCCAGCGTTCGCCTGAACCCGACAGCGCTGCACCGAGCAGCCGCAGGGGTGGAAGGTCTGGGCTCGGTCCTCGTAGAGGTTCTGAGCGTCGACGTAGTTGAAATGCCCCGGGCGCATCCAGGGTGTCACCGTGGGGGAGCCAAAGAAGGCACGGTCCAGCCACCAGGAAGCTGTGGTGTAGTAGGCTTGACGATCCAAGGCATAGCTTCCTGGAAGAGAAACATAACCACGTGAATGCAAATAGAAGAGATGCACCAGTCGATTGAACGTTCGAGTATCAGTACGAAGATATCAAACAAGAAACTGATGTACACCTCCAGTGATGACAGTATCCCTCCAGTTGCCCACAAAAACATTTTGACCACCACACCATCAAAGCTCTCGTCAAGACATACAGTCTAACAATTTCCCACGAACCTGAATGAGGCTACTAGGAACAAGAAGCTACTAGGGGCTCCTGGCATCGCTACCGCTACTAGGAGCAAGGACGCTACTAGGGGCTCCTGGCATCGCTACTAGGAGCAAGGACGCTACTTGGGGCTCCTGGCCTTTCTGCTAGGAACAAGAAGCTACTGGGGGCTCTTGGCATCGCTACTAGGAACAAGGACGCTACTAGGGCTCCTGGCCGTACTACTAGGAGCAAGTAGCTACTAGTAACAAGCAGCTGAATGTCCAAACATGGCCAAACTCACTTCCTCAATGCCGTGGCCATGCTCGTCCTGGGAATCCGTTGTTCTTGGAGTGTGGAATCGTCAGCATGGCATGCCCCAGTGCGCGTGCCAGGAAACTGCAGCTGAGCAGGGTCAACATCGTCATGATCGCCAACGTTCGGAAGTCAGAGCACTCAAACTGCGGGACCATGAATTGCGATTGTGTGACCGGTGGACAATGCCAACTGCAGGTCGCTGGAGGCTATCACTACTGGGTTGGTGGCCATCGCTCTTGTATAAGTTGGATGCCGTTGCTACTAGGTTGGAGGCCATTGCTAGTAGGTTCATTGAAGTTTGTATCGAGTTGTGTCTAGTTGTTCAATCTTACAAGATCTTAGAGGCTTGGATGAGATTGTTGGTGAGCCAGGCAGCCATACCCAACTGTGTTTTTGGGGAAGAATGCGACGTTTCTTCTCTCAGCTACCCATTAATTACCATGGCATCACGGGCTACCCGACTCCGCCATGCATTTGGAAATAGCTGCAAAAACTGCAACAATGTTTTCGGAACAGGTAGTGCTTTGGTTGATTTCATCTGTCCTAGTATTAATTAGTGATTTGCTGTATTTTCCTCTAGACCGTGCATCCCAAGACACTCGATCTCAGTGGTCACTTGGTTGAATGGTACTCCGGCACTCAGCACGCACGACACCTTCTTACTTGGTTTCCCCCAGCCAGCAATCAGCCACACACCAAAGCCAGCGTCACGATTTACCTCGTGCAATGGATAATCAATAGAATCGTTTTCCATGCACGAAGGGTGACTATTGTCTTGACTGGAGCATGGAAGGAATTGCCTTTGGATGGTTTCCATCAATCGTGACCTTCTTGTTCCATGAATAGTGACTTCACATCAGATTTCGGGCTGCCATAGAACAGCTGCCTTTGCAGGGTGTCTTTGGGAGAAAGACTTGAAAGCATCAAAGACCAAAGACGTGGAACACATTGGTGACGTTGGGGTGGATCACTGGTGATTCAAGTCCTATTCAATTTTCTGTTTTCACATGTAGCCGACTCACCCCAATCCGATGTTGTCCAGATTAAGATTGTGCAATCGGTAAGCTTTCCAAACAAACGCATTGCAGCATCTCTTTGCAACCTTTCCTCTAGGCTGTTTTTAAGAAGCTACTAGTAACAAGTGCATCGCTAGTAGTAACAAGTGCCTTAATTTCGTCTAATTTTAGCTTAATTATAATAGCTTTTTGTTGCTACTAGTAAGGCACCTGTTACTACTAGCGATGCACTTGTTACTAGTAGCTTCTTGTTTCCAAATCAATTCTTCTTCTTAGTCTCTCGCAACTTCTCAATTTCACCTCTTGTGGGTATGAAGTTTGCCGGAGTAACACCGTCAGGATGATCTGAAGATCCAGCCGCACGGTGGAGTCTTCGCATTCTAGGCACATTTAAACATGACCGGACACTACTAGTAGTAACAAGAAGCTACTAGGAACAAGTGCATCGCTAGTAGTAACAAGTGCCTTACTAGTAGTAACAAGAAGCTACTAGGAGCTCCTGGCCATACTGGGAACAAGAAGCACATTCCAGACCGGAGCAGTGCACCGAGCTGTCATAGCTCGGAATTTGAGATAGCTGGACCTTAGTGACCACTCCCGACGTCCACAACCCACACCAAGCGGAGAATTACTTGGCTGAAGAACAACGGTGAAAATGGACAGGCTGAGAACACTCTGCACTACCCCCTCTTTGACCAAATATGTGGTCAAGTCCCTAGAAGCAAAGGCTTCCAAAAGCTGCAAACTACTCCAAACACTGTTCTTTTTTCCTGCTCCCCCCTAGTAGCTTCTTGCTACTAGTAGCGATGCACCTTGTTACTAGTAGCTTCAACAAACACTTCTTGGGACATTTTGGACCTCTCTTCGCACCCAGTCGCGAGTAATATTCTTCGTACTCTGGATGAACGACAGTGAGTCCTGCCCCAGTGAACGCTTTCGCAGCCTCCGCACGGAGACTTGCCGTGCAACAGTCACCGCAGACTTGCCGCCGCCACAGAAGCAGCACGCGGTGGCAATGACCTCGTGGGCACCTGATCGTGACCGGTCGTGGCCTGCCTCCAAGGCGCTGCACTCGTCGGACAAAGGAAGTCGGTCACAGTCAGTCATGCATCGAGAATCTCACTTCGCAGTTTCAGCAGTGTTGCTGATATTGGTTTGTTGGACAACAACATAAACAAATGGATACACATGGAGTGAAACAATGGGCGTACTTTCGTGGTGGTCCAAGGCACAATAGGCATCAGGCTGGCTGTAGGCAGCCCCTCTCTCTTCGAAATAAGTACAGTCGAACCGTCCTTTACAGCGGGCTTTGAGCGTATAAAAGCCCTATGATCATGCGATATGGACACATACATACTGTGCAGTGCTCTTTCCACGGCAAAATAACTGGCTCTGGTCGTGATGTAAAAGAGGCCAGCGCTGTGAGCGTGTGTTTTTGGTATTCTCGCTTTTTTGTTTGATATTTGTGATCTCTTTGATAGGTCCTCTGAACCCAAAACATTTCCCCTATATGGAGCCTTGCTGTTCTGGTAGAAGATGAAAAAAAACACATGCGGCATGCGTGATAAAATACATTGACATGACAGGAGAAAAAAAGAAACACGTATGCTAGAAACACTGTACACTGCACATGCTCACAGCGCTGTTTTCTGTATGCAAAGTGTGAGTGATACATGGCAAGCCAAACTCTCCAGATCCAAGCCCTTTCATAGCTTCGACCTCTGACATTCTCCAACCTCTTCCCGTTCCAAGTCCTTGTTGGCTCTACTGGGCGGGCAGCGGCTCATCGACACATCCAGTTCCGCTCGTTGTTGTGGTGCTCGTGGTTGTGGTGGTGGGGACATTAGGGTCTACGATCTCCACGTCTGCGCAGTTGGACCAGATCTGATCTGCCATGTAACAATCCTGACTTGGCCGAATGGATCAGGGGGCTAAACGCCAATGCTGTTGATACAATCCTTTTCTTTGGAGTTCAACATTTGACCAAAAAGGTAAGCGCCGCGCTCCGACCACAGTCACCCTCCGTGTCGCACATTAGAAAAGGTGCCAAGGTTCCCAACGCCAACTGAGGAGATACTCACCTCACAGCTGAACAGTTACCGCGTGAATGGGAAGTCCAACTTCTTCCTTTTTTTTTGCTTTATTTGTGATCTTCAGAGCTTTCTTTTGGTTTCTTGTTTTGTTGGAGGCAAGGAAACATCCACATGTTTTGTTCTTATTGTATGTCGTAGGTTGTGACTGCTGCTAAGAATCCACTATTCTCTTTGCGGTCAAATGTGAAATGCAGTTACTTTACATGCAGTACCTGCGTGCAACTGCTCTATCTCAATTTATCCAGATGCAAAAAACCGGACAGTGTTTCTGTCGAGGCCCCCTGCCTGGGGGAAGGTTGTTGGGCACCCGTACCTTGTCATGGACCTGAACATGCGGGCTACAGGGCAAGAAACGCTGAAAAACAAGGTCAGTGTGGATTGGACTCTATGTGTGGCAATTGGCATGACGCAAGGTCATCCCACTTGTGACTCATCGCAAGAATGTAGCCGATTGGAGGAAAACTCGGTCTGACTTAGAGCTGACTTGTGACTATATCAGCTATAAGAGTTATAGTTCACTTTGAGTCAACACCCCAACTCCCCAGAGTTCCACACCACGCCTCCCAGTTGTTGGGGTTGTGGTTCTTGGGCCCGGCATCACAGACGGACTTTGGACCGAAGTCCTCCGCAAAGAGCTGCTCCACCTGAGCGTCGCTGAAGGCCTCAACGGCGTCCCAGGAGCACAAGCCTTCGCCACCTGGCGAAGAATGTGTCAACGTGGACTCAGCGCAAAACATGGAAATGTGGAGCCCACTACACCAGCAAGAAAACGACGGTATTGGGCATTTGTACAGCTGTAGCCGCAAGTACTTCGAGTGATCCCCACCCCGAGAGGCGGACTGGAAGAAGGCAGGGCACTTGTATTGACAGACTATCCAAACGTTGCCTGACATGTGCATCGACACTATGTTCTGGCATCAAGTCTGGTACGTGTTCTGACACATCATCTATCAAAAAAAGACTGGACATGTTCTGGTATGTGTCCTGACGTCCTCATTGGCATGTGTTTCCTTTGTCCTGCCGTGAAGTATCATTTTTCGTCTCCGCATCCTCTAGCGAATTACTTCTGGCATGTGCTGTCGCACCAAGCTGGCATGTGCGACAGCTGTGTTGTGACACATGGTCAGGAGCCCCTAGTAGCTAGCGTCCGATCGCTCCGTTCGTAGCGATGCCCTTTGCTCCTAATAGCGTCCTTGGTCCTAGTAGTACGGCCAGGAGCCCCTAGTAGCGTCTTTGCTCCTAGTAGCGATGCCAGGAGCCCCGAACGTAGCTTCTTGTTCCTAATGGTCATACTTCAGTTCTGATATGTCTGACATGAGTCCGGCCATGTATTCCGACATGTGTTCTGCCATCAAACCTGCCACTTGTTCCAGCACTCTATCTGGTATCTTTTGGCATTCTACCTGGAATATATTCTGACTGACATTCTATCTGGCATTCTACCTTGCATATATTCTGACAACCTTTCCAGCATTCTAACTGTCTTCCGGCATTCTTTCTGGCATATATTCTTGCATTGTATCTGGCATAGCTTCTGACATCCTAGCTGCCATACCTTCTGACATCCTTTCTGGCATATCTTATGGCACGCTACCTGGCGTGTATATACTGACATCCTTTCCGGGCATATCTTCTGGCATACCTTTTGGCATTCTATCATGGCATACCTTCTGACATTCAAACAGGTGTGTCTTCTGGCTTTTTAACCGACATATATCTTCGGAACTTCTAACTGGCACATCTCCTGATTTCCGGCATTCTATGTGGCATGGTTTCCGACATTCCATCTGGAACGGCATGTGGTGACTCCCAACATAAAAGTGTTCAGGTATCTTCAGGTGAGAGGCAAAGGAGTGGCACCTTTAAAATCTAAAAACCCTCACCTGGGAGACTAGCAAGAAGCTACTAGTAGCAAGGAAAACCTATGCTGACGCAAAAGGACGGCATCATCGCACGTAGGGTGCTCTCACCTAACCCACTGCCTCACTGCTATTATCAAGGAAGACAGGCTAGCTTAGATCGACACTTGCGTTTCTTTGTGCCTCATTCCCACAAGGGATGTAAGAGTTTGGTACTCACCGAAAGACTGCTAGTAGGTTGGAGGCCATTGCTTCTACTAGCCTCGGTCCCCGGAACTTGACCGGCACCTCCAGAGATCTGCGTGGTGTCAGGGATGGGGATCCACCGCCAGGTAGTGCCTTCCGGCTCTGTGTCTGAGCCACTCTTGCTGGTGATCTTCATCGTCACCTGGGATTACTTCTGGAGACACCCCTTCTAACTTTCATGCAGTTGTTTGTGGATGTTTTAAGGATGTGCTATAGGTTTCAGCCTATGTTTGGGTAGCTTTTGCATGCTTTTGCATTACAGTATTTCTTCTTGTTTGGTACTTTGACTGGTGCATGATCTGCTTGGCACCAGCGAGCTGCGTTGAGGTCCCTCTGCGCTTGATAGTCCATCCACTGAGTGTCTGCAAATTCCAGAACGTTGGCTTCGAAGCAGTCCCAAATGCATTTCCTGACGACGAAAAGCGGAGAAATGGAAGACGGAGCGCGAATAGGATTTTTGTCACAAAGAAACTGTATTATATGCAGGGTCGATGACAAGGAAACGTGCCACAACGGAATCCACGAGCAGCTGGCACATTTGGCCAACCATCCGCACATCAAGATTTCACCAAAAGTGATGTTGCAGGTGAGCTTCAGATAGGCATCAACCTGCTCCTGGCTCGAGCCTCGGATAGGATCTGCCAAATGATCCTGGCGACATTGAAGGAAGGTGTCACGCTTGCACAGCATGTAGATATAGCCTCCGCCATGGTTGGCATACCTCACAAACGACATTTCCCATCCACACAACGGACAGCTACATGTCACAAAAACTACCGGCCAAAAGCCAAGCTCTTCTGGTATCTCCTAGGGTCCTTCGGTGGCACACTGAAGCTTCGCTATCATAAAGGCAGGACTTTGTCTTCTTCCTCTATATAATCAAACAACATCATCTGAGATCTTGTGTAGTGGCACAGCAGGTGAATGAACTTGAACAATTGAAGGGAGCAAGGACGCTACTAGGGCTCCTGGCCTTACTACTAGGAGCAACAAGCTACTAGGAACAAAGGGCATCGCTACTAGGAGCAAGGACGCTACTAGGGGCAGGAGTATAAAGTATAAAATGATGGAAATCGTTTCTGTCTGTTTGGAGGCACAGCCCGGCCAACCAACCCCGAAAATGGGGACATGTCATTCTGAGCAAATCCTTTTCTGTACGGTCGCATAATGCACGTCCTGCCTTTCCTTCTTACCAGGAATCACATCTAAGTCTATGTCTATGTGGATCTGCCGCTGTTGAATTAGCAATTGCATTTCGCGTGGCAGGTGTTTGATGGTTGGTTCTCATTCTCTTTTGGATCAGCATTCAAACAGCTTTGGAGGGAGGACATGTGACCGTGGGGGGTGGCATAAGTCTCTTGCAGTATTCTCAGGGGACAGGGACAGGGTTTGCACTCTGGAACTCTGGAACCTTCCCTAAGAACAAAAAGGTGTCATGATCCTGGTGCTGTATTACATACAAGAACCGCCTCAAACGGACACAAGTGTCTCCACCTTTCGACACACACTCCCAACCCTCCTATGAATGATCGCTATGTCGGGCAGTACAAGTCACCATGGTACCAACTATGTAGAGCACTTTTGATCTTCGTCACCCATCCGCCATCAACACGTCCCCAGTTGATTGGTCCAGCTGCAGATTGAAGGCAGTCTCCTGTTCCGTACCCAGGAACCACTTTGGTGGCTTGATCGTTGGCCCCGTGGGCTCTGCACCGCCCATGGTGGTTTCCCCAAAGCCCTCGGCCAGCTGGACACCTCCAAGTCTTGTGATTCGTGGTTCGGTGGACCAGTGAGGGCGCAAAGAGCAGCATCGGGGATGGGCTCTACATCCGTGGGATGGTTCCAGTTTCAGTCTGTTTTGGAAAACACTTGAAATGGAAATATTATATTGTGATATATTGTGTCTCTTTTGTTCACTCTCCCTTTTTGAGTCAGGCGGGCTATGTTTGTATTTATTCACACCAGTTTGCTTGTAATTTTCCGAGAACGGCTGGCTCAATTCTGGTTGGGATCAGGAAATGCTTTCAGTGTCCAACTGAAGCAGTTCACCAACCTCGCGCTTCTGATTGATTAAAACCATTAAACACCTCGGCAATTGAATATGTCAGTTTTATTTACGGCCGCACGGCTTGGTATTTCTCTATGATCTTCGTTGTCTTTCCTCAGCAATGCGCCTGCACAGAACTCGGCACCATGTGGGTTATAACAGCCTCAGCAGGTGGACCGGCAAAATGTTTGATGTCCACAAAACACTGGGGTTCTAGTAGCGTAGCTTCTTGTTATTAGTAGCTACTTGCTCCTAGTAGTGCGGCCAGGAGCCCCTAGTAGCGTCCTTGCTCCTAGTAGCGATGCCAGGAGCCCCTAGTAGCGAACAGGGCTCTAGCTGATAGCTAGCCTTCCTTTCGTCTGAAAGGGCATACTCACTTTTCCCCAAAGGATCCCAACAAAATCCACAGTGCACAAGGCTCCCAAGCAGTGCGAAGTCCCATCTCAGGAACATTCAGGAACTACGGCCATCTTTAGCAATCTTGTCCGTCCATATCCGGTCCAAGGGATATTTCTGGATGGTGAATTGGTATAAAGACTCCTCCCCCCAATTTCCCCTGCGAATTGAACGGAAAAGGCCCTGGAGTCTGCCACCTTCCTTAGGCCGATCGGATCGTTTCCACTCTTCCTTAGGTGAACAGGCAGGTCCCATGGAATCCATGGCAAGCGGCCGCAGGGGTGGAACGTCTGGGGAAAGTCTTTGTAGAGGTTCTGAGCGTCCACATAGTTGAAATGCCCCGGGCGCATCCAGGGTGTCACCGTGGGCAAGACAAAGAAGGCACGGTCCAACCACCAGGAAGCTGTGGTGTAGTAGGATTGACGGTCCAAGGCAAAGCTTCCTGGAAGAGAAACATAACCACGTGAATCCACAAAACAAACTGAACATTTGTTATTTTGACTGATCGAATACCATGAATTCCGAAGGTAAATTGTGGTTCAATAAATTGATGAACGCCTGCAGTGATGAACAAAAACAGCCCAAACATCGGTCAGTAGAAGAAGACAAGGATGAAGATAAATTTGGCACTCTGGAGCACACACATGAGAACACACGTAGGTGAGCCGTGACAGCACACATATAAAAGCACAGATATGAGAGAGCACACATATGAAGGCAACATAAGGCAACTACATATGAGAGCACACACCTGCGCAAAAGAGAGCACAATGAGAACACACATATGTGACACATGAGAGCACGCAATGAGAGCACACGCGTGTGAGCAAGCACACGAGACCACACAATGAGGGCACGGGTAATTGAATCTGCACTTCTGGGTTCACAAACCACCATGAAGCCTCATGAAAACGCGGCACATGTCCAAGCTTCCCAATTCACCAGACACGACCAGCCAAGTCCGGTGCCGACATGTGCCGAAGTAAAATGGCTCCAGTCCCCACGTGCCACGAAAAGTCGACTTCGCCATAAAGACACGAGGGTTCCTTTACGCCTGACGAAGATCTCGAGAGGTATGACTGTCCATAAATAGCATCGAAATGGCCGCACATGCCGGTGAACACCCTTCATCAACCCCAGCCTTGCGAACAACAGTGTAAGAACCCCTAGTGTGACTCTTTGGGGAACAACACCAGTAGGTAGTCTTCTGTGTCTAGTAGCTAGAAGCTACTAGGTTGGAGGCCATCGCTATGTGGTTGGAGGCCATCGGTATTATAGTATTATATAGGTTGGAGGCCATTACTACTAGTAGCTAGAAGCTAGTAGTAACAAGTGCATCGCTACTGGTAACAAGGGAGTCCTAACCGCTGCCAAACATCTCCTGAACTACACATTGTGGTAACAGGTATCATTGACTCTAGACACCTCGTTGACCCCAGAGCACAAAGCGAGAGGCCTTGGCTGGGTGGTCTTGTGGACGGTCTTTCAATTCAATCTGTTTGTTTCAATGGGTTTCATTCCAGTGCTGCAGCCATGCTGTCTACCTGGCAAACCCAGAATCCACATCAACCACTTCAGCTTTTTGGGTTTTTTTGAGGCGTCTCTCTTTCGTGAACAGGCGTACCATGGTGACGACAATGGTGACGTCAATGGTGCTGGACTATCACTGACATGAAATCAGATACGAGAACCGTGTTTGCCGAAGTTTCGATGTTCTTGAGAGTACCTGGGTGCGTTGAAACTCCATAGTTAGCTGACAAAAAGTTCTCCCAAAGCTTTAAGACCACCAAACCATCAAAACTGTTTCCACAACACAAGACCAAATGATTCCCCCGAACCTGAATGAGGCCCAAACATAACCTGCAATGCCCGTCCTGGGAATCCGTTGTTCTTGGAGTGTGGAATCGTCAGCAGGCCGTGCCCCAGTGCGCGTGCCAGGAAACCGCAGCTAAGCAGGGTCAACATCGCCATGATCGCCAACGTTCGGAAGTCAGAGCACTCAAACTGCAGGACCATGAATTGCGATTGGCCGACTGGTGGATGCCAACTGCAGGTCGCTGGAGTGGCCCACAGTCAACCCCACGACTGTTTGCAGGTTTCAATGGTGTCTGTCAACCCCTCTGACGGATCCATAGAGCCTACATCCATGCCCAGTCACCCGACGGATGCGATGTCCATGGGCCATCCCATTGGGCTTCTGGACTCCACCACGACATGTCCGTTGAGATCAATGCCGAACAGCCTCTCTATGCGTTTCTGAAGAAGTAACATTGAACCTTTGAACATCAACATACTGCTTGTTGGATCCAATCAGCTTCCCGTTTTTTCTTTTTAAGAGTCGAATTCAATGGAATCCTCGGCACAAACATGGGCCTTCAAAGTTGCGACTTGTTCAATCCACCAGCCACATGGGCCATCGCTATTAGGTTGGAGGCCATCACTCCAAGGTTGGAGGCCATCGCTCTTAGGTTGGAGGCCATCGCTAGTAGGTTGGAATCCATTACAATTAGGTTGTTGGCCATGGCTAGTAGGCTGGAGGTGATTGCTCTCAGGTTGGAGGCCATCATAAGTAGGTTGGAGGCCACACTTGGGTTCGGTTTGTATCGAGTTGTGTATTGCTTCAGTACCCTCGTCTTTCAGCACCTTCTAGCTCTTGTAGAAGCCGCAGCACCTCCTTCGAGTTCGCTCGATCGGCCACCTCAACGAAGGGCGATGCAAACGAGCCGATGCCAAGACGGGGCAGTTGCACGTTCGGCCCTACTGGACAATGTCTCACATGGCCTCATCGCTGTGGAACCAACAAACAGGGAGACATCTGACCACGCTTTGCACACAAAGTAGGATTGGACGATGCACATACACCCGCAGTCTTTTTCACCATCGCCCATCTCCCCCTTTGGGGGACCGGCGCATCAAAGTGCGCACATGAGGTGCGCACCAGAGCGCGCAGCTTCTGGTTATCCTCAGTGTTTTTCTGCCACAATTTTCTTGGGTCATCCTCATGCGCACGTGAGCTCGTTGTGTCTCACCCGCCCATGGCTGACAGCTCTGTCGAACTCGGCTCAGGAGATGATCTGGGAGACTCCTCGAAAGGTGCTCTGGAACTAGTTGTCAATTGAATCTGCTGGAACATTGGCAAAGTAGACCGCATATAGGATTGCTAGTCAGTGCTAGTCAAGATGATTTTCAGGGAGCTGGTTCAGGCTGGGACAGGAAAATCAGCAACTTTGCTGGATCAAATTTCGGTAGAAAACACTCACAACTGGCTTTGGCAAGGTGTAACCGATGATCTTAGGGTTATGTATAGACTTCTCTTAAACCTCGTCACTCGCCTACTGATTGCAGCTAGAAGTCCATCTAGAAATCTTTCCCAGGCTGAGCAAAGGGATGGGATGAAGCAACCGTATCAAGTTTCTTGCGTGCATCCCCATGCCAAAAGCACGCCTGTGCGGGGCGGTTCGAAGCCCTCAAGGGACCATCGAAGCTCCTGAACAGAATGGTGAATGTCCGTCCAAGTGGTTCTGGGCGCGAAATTCCAGTCGACAGGGACTTGCCATCTTGGTTAAAATGAAAGAGCTAGAAACACCACGAGGTCTGTCAATTGTTTGGCATCCAGGGGAGCAAGATGGAGCAAGACATGAGCTGCTAATATGGGCAGGTGATGACAGGTGCCTAGCCTAAAGATGTTCTAATTTGTTGCTCGACATGGATCTGATACTTGATCTATCCATGCATTTCTCCAGCGTCAAAGGACACCAAAAGCACCAATCGCCATGGATGTCTTGGACGGCATCCACAACCATTTGCATAACAATTAGGTAGCACAATAGATTAGGATGAAGCACACTAGATTCTACTGGCCTTGCATGGACCCCCTATGGGTCGTACAGGTGTCCTGCATCGGACTCTGAACATCTCAACTCTTCCATTAGCTACTGGTAGCGTCCTTGTTACTACTAGTAAGGCACTTGTTCCTAGTAGCGATGCACTTGTTCCTAGTAGCGAACCTTGCTACAAGTAGCGATGCCAGAAGCTCCTAGTAGCGAACCTTGCTCCTAGTAGTAAGGCCAGGAGCCCCGTTCGTAGCGAACCTTTCCGACCTAGAAAGGGCTCCTGCTGCTTTGTCACCAGCACGCCAAAGCCTCACCTTTCCGACCTGCGCCGACGACATCCCGAGGATGACTCGAGGATACGACGACAGCATGCCTTTCCGAATATCAGCCTGTCTGTTGCTATGAAGGGACTAGTTAAGGAACAATGAATGTCAGGTTCTGTTGTGTTCCTTAACTTATGGCAGTCATCCTGGGCGAGATCCGGGCAAGATCTAGAAAGTAACCCCACGGAAGGGGCACCCAAACCTCTTCATATATCCTCTTTGCAGGTGTAAGTGTAAGGGACCTCAACATGCCAAACACAAAGGGCAAGATTTCTCAAAAACGTCAAAGTGTTCAACCAACCAACTTTGCCTGTGTTGCCCAAAAAGGACGACTTTCCACAGACCCTTCCCCTCAAGGCAGGGAATACCTCAATGCGTTTTACAGAGACCGCACGGCGCGCGAGGGAGCAAGGGAAAGTCATGTGAAGTTGCAGGCATCGCTACTAGGTTGGAGCCGGGCCACAACTTGGGTCATCCATTCAAACCACAAATCGTCTGCTCGACCCGTTGTTCGAGTTCAAACGAGAGAAAAAAACGGTACCTCCACCCGATGGCCTCCACCCTAAGAGCAATGGCCTCCAACCTAGTAGCTTCTAGCTACTAGTAGCTTCTTGCTCCTAGTAGTAAGGCCAGGAGCTACTAGTAGCGTCCTTGCTCCGAACGTAGCGATGCCCTTTGCTACTAGTAGCTTCTTGTTACTGTTGTACCCAACCAAGACGGGAAATAGATGGAAATAGACCGTGGCCTGGTCGCCTGTGAGAAATTCCAGGCTGTCTGTTGACCAGGCCTAGGAGCATGGTGGCATGTTCATCTGCCGGCGCCGCGCAACGAAGTGGCTTGGATTTCGTCAACACCGCGCAACTCAATAAGGATCCATTGAAACCCTGATTGACCTGGCCATGAGAGAGTTTCTTTTTGAAGTTGTCGGATGGAACCGTGAAGAAATCCATCAAATGGATCGAGGGAAGTGACAGGTACAGTTCCACATCCCTGTGTTGGACAAAAGCCTGATTTTTTAGATCTGTATATCCTCACTTTGACTCCAACAGCACCCACCCGAACCGTTAGAGGAACACCGTCTTCCAATGCATTTGTGGAATTGTGGAAGGATAGGTGCCGGAACCTCTCTAATCTTGTGATGTGTCACTAACATGTGGAGGCCATCGCTAGTAGGTTGGAGGCCAATGCTCTAAGGGATGGAGGCCATCGCTCTAAGGGATGGAGGCCATCGCTAACATGTTTGATAACTAATCTCGGGTTGTGTCACTAACATGTTTGATCGTGGTTCCCAGAACACGCGTCAAACATCGGAAGGCCTGTAACTCGGCCAATGCCAACACCCAACCAGAGGCCGAATGGTGTCGCACTGCTTATTCACCAAGTATCATTTAGCTGATGGCATAGGATGGGATTCCCATATGTTAAGTGAACTAATAATGACTTCGATGACTCCCAACAACCCACTGCAAAATCGTTGCGATGCTCAGCTTCGCATCTGTTCCGCCCCCCCAAGTGACGGTTCCCCAATGCTCCAAGTGTCCACAGCCCAAATCTCATGATGATGGCCTCAGCCGTCCAATTCGGTTTGCGGTTCGGAACCGTGCACCTAGGACATCGGACCGCCCCTAAACATGGTCTTTTTTGGGTCGGTGTCGGGTGACCCAGCACTGAGGCGATAGCCTCATTGACTCATTGAGTCCTCATCCGAACATGACCGTCTCGATCTCTGGTGAACCAAGGGACCTACCGATCGACCGCTTTCAGCTGGCTCTGCAGCCGGCAGCCAAGCGGCCATGCAGCGTGGCTTCCAGGGTCCAACCGCCCTCAATGGACCTCAGTGACCAAGGAAGAACTAATAGCAATGGCCTCCAACCTACTAGCGATGCACTTGTTACTAGTAGCTTCTTGTTCCTACTAGTCAGGCACTTATTACTAGTAGCGATGCACTTGTTACTACTAGCACTGGCCTCCAACCTAATAGCGATGTTAATGGACCTTACTGAAGGTGACCCAGTAAGGACGGTGGGTCTGTGACGGGTTTTCCCAGGGTTTGTTCTTTTGCTGATGTTGTTCATATATGCATCGAACAAGGAAAAACATCCAATATTGTTTGATGTTCTTCTTTGCAACATGGGGTTCCTAGGCAGTATTCCAAAAAGGCTCTTGAGACTCTTGCCAGTTTATGTGCTATTTTGCAGTCTACATCCAGTCCTGTCCCAGTCTTGTGGCTCTGGTACATAATGGGGGTCGCACAAAACAACTGTTCCTTCCGCCTACCCCGGAAAATCTCCGCAATGCACAAACGTATCGATACGCAGCGGGTTGAGATGCGCATGTTAAGGATTGTAGATCATCCAAATTGTTGCCCCAGCCCCTTCCTGAGACTCCTGCGGATCCCTCAACCAAATCCTGGCAGATCCATCTTTGCTGCCGGTGAGAATCTGGCAGCGAGGGATGAGGAGGATTTCTTGGACAGCAGGGCCCCCTCCTCGCCCAGGGTCTGGAACGTTCACATCGCTTTCAGGGGTCAATGTAGGCTTGGAGAGTCTGAATTTGAGAGCCACTGTTGGTATCTGTGTTCTCTTCTTGAATCATTCGAGTAGGCTGTCTCAAGCCACGCACCTAGGTCATGGGATTGAACACAGCTCTGCCTCTGGATTTCAAGTTTGATAAAGGGACGGCGCTGGCCATTGGTCGGTTCTGCATGACAAATAAGTCCTTGTCCCCTACCCTTGTTACATTCAACCGACAAACAGAATGTGGTTTTCCTGGAAACTGTTGCCTTGGTCTCATGGGAAATCCAAGCAAGCCGTCAACAGCCATTCACCAAGCAACAAACATAAACAACTCAAGCAAATGAAATTTACTAGGAGCAAGGACGCTACTAGGGGTTCCTGGCCTAGGAGCAAAGGGCATCGCTACTAGGAGCAAGGACGCGGCTAAAGTGACGGCCAAGAATGACTTCCTTGACACCACGCTGCTCCCACTGGGTCTTCGCGCCCGATGGCCGTCCGGAGACCATGCCGCCACCCAAATGGGTGACCAGCGGGTAATCCAATCTGAATTGTGCGATCGAAACCGGTCCGACTGGACGTTTTTGGGCGACCGGGAGAGGAACAGTCCGAAGAGGATCAGGAAAACTGTTTATCCTTCAAGTCTCACGGGAATCCGCCTGTCGGTCTTTCTTTTTGCTGGGCCCTTCTGGCAACGACGAATCTGCAGTTCTTGTTGATCTCAGATGGAAACTACCTACATCTACCTGCTTACATAACTTCATATGATTTGCTTGGGCAGGTTCTTCATGTTTCTTCCTTTCTCTCGTTCCACATCTTCAGAGTTTCCGGGACCCACACCCATGTTGGCGTCTGGATGCAGCGTGTCCAAGCGTGCAGGAGAGTACCACGGCAAAGCGGTGTTGCTCCTGGAAGGGTGGACGGTTAACAGAAACCTTCCCAAATGATCCATGTGGTGGTGAATATCGCCTACATTCTGTGGATTTTTTTTGTGGTGAATGTAGGTCACAAATCCTTACATGGACCGTTTGGGCTTGGCTTTGGGAGACGCTTTTCTGGGAAAACTGGAGCTTGTGAGGCTTCCTGGCTTCCTGATCCATCCTGATCCTGCTTCTCTGCCGTGGTTGAGGACTGGTCATCTGAGAATCTGATGTACAACAGCTACACTTCTCGGTACTAGTAGCGATGCCCTTGTTACTAGTAGCCTTCAGCTACTGGTAGGAATGCCAGGAGCTACTAGTACCGTCCTTGCTCCGAACGTAGCGATGCACTTGTTACTTCTCGTTTCTTCAATCACCAAGTCTCGGCCGAGTTTTTTCCGGTGAAAGCACCTCGCGACCGACCGCCCCGGCAACTGCAGCGCTGCTGCCCAAGGTACATGTTTGGCATCAGCTTCGGTCCATTCGCAGCAGAGAGGACGCCCTGAGTAGCTCAGTTTGGGCTCATCTGGGGCTGGTAGGTATTTTATGATGTTGATCTAGCGTCCCGCGACGTTTTCTTTTTCGAAGAAATGCAACGAAGCATGGCGGCTGCAGAGTTTTAGTCTGCAGTAATTTTGGGCACAAGCCTGAATGAGACCTATTAGACCTATTTTAGGTCGAGTCGAAACTAGTCGTAGAGCAGCCCATACTTAACGGCTTGAGAAGTGCCAAAAGAGCGGTGTTTCGTTTCCGTCAACATCTCATCCTCCCATCCAAGTAAGGAATAGAGGTAAAACCCCTCTCAGGAGTCGCTGTACCGCTGTACCGCTGGAGGTAGACCCGGTCTGGTCTCAAAATGCGGTACAAATCCTTTTCCCTACAATAGAAACCGCATGGTTGTCACCATGGTTGTCACACTAGAAACATGTTGTGGAACTTGTTCTTTGCATGATCAGTGATGAGAGATCAGCACAGCATTGCGCGACACAGAGATGGGTCCAGCTTATGAGCCGTGGCCTCCAATTCCCAGCTGCTGTTGAAGGGCCGCCTCACTCAATGTGATGCAGGATGAGAATCTTAGAGGAAGTAGGACAGCTTTCTGTGACTCTGACAAAAACAATGCTCATGATTGCTTGTGTGGTTTGGGATCAATTGTTCCAGGTGGTACCGCAATAATTACACTTCCATGAACTAAACGTATTGGCAACATTTGGCAATCATTACCATCAACCGCAATCCTGCCGAGCTCTTACCAATCAAGGGGTTTAGACTCGGAGCAATGAACGTCACCCACCAAATGAAACAACCTGTCTCAAACCCTCCCACGCAATCACGGTGTTCAAAAGACAGTGAGACAGTAGTCTTTAATTGACATCAGGACCTGGCTGGCTATCAAAGAATATCACACATGCACATGATCATGCCTTGTTACTAGTAGCTTCTAGCTACTAGTAGCGATGCACTTGTCAACTTGTTACTAAATGCCTCCAACTTTTTTCCCTGATTCCTTCAGCTCTCTGGGGTGAGCGCCAGATGCTCGCACCCTGCGGGCTGCTGGTTAGAACCTTGAGAGCGTGACCTCTTTGGTTGCCACTTTCCCTTCGTTTGGCACAAACAAGATCCACATTCTTTTAACAGGTCCTGCAGTCAAAAAAGGTCATATCCCTCTGGTGTTCCTTGCAGGATCACCAATTAGCACAGATGATCGTACAAGATGATTCAGAACGTTCATGATATAAGGCCTACCCGGCTTTTGTCATCAAAGGGGGTTTTCCCACAACCAACAGCTTCACCCAACAACCAGTCCAGGAAACTCGCTGCCCATCAGGCGACCAGGCTACAGCTCGCACTGCCTGCAAAGGCGAGCTGTGTGTGTGTTCGGTCCGAGATATGGTCCGCAGGTGGAAAAAGCACTGAGATCTTGCTGAGATCTTCCTGTACATCGACATTCGATGTGGACATCTGATGAGCTGCACCAAACGATTCTGAAGACAGCTGACCCTGATGACATCACCCCAGAAATGGAGTGCATCCTTCGATCGTGTTGGATCCCTTTTTCTCCGCAGGAGGGCCATCGTCACCCTTGAGGCTCAACCGTCAAATCTGACGTGGCTCAGGACAAAAGGTTAGTATACAAACAGCGAAGAAAGTCCTTATCGATACCAGATGAGAGGAGAATGTCAGACCTTTGCAATCCCCTTGGCTTGCAAATACGGTCCACAAAACTTTATGATCCACGATGCTTGTGATTGTCGTGGACATTAAGTTCAAATTCATGGTGTCTTGACTAGACTAACCTTAGACCTTGAGGAAGGACGCAAAGAATCATCAGTTTTTGACACAAATGGATGTTTTGGTTTGCCCTAACCCCAAGGATTTATGTACATAAATGCACCGCGAACGGAACTGTGCTTCTGTCTGTATGGCACATTCACTCCGTCGCTGGATCCTTCGTTTGTTCACGTTGGCTCTCGCGACCACAGCCGGTGACGATCAAGTAGAGTCCAATTCCAACCACAGAACATGCAGCGTTCACGTAGTAGTAATATTCCAAATGCCCTGCGGATAGAAGGCAACACGGCGAGAACATGAGAGAAATCAGTGATGTGCCATTGAGCTCCTCCTTGCTTCGCCCGAAGGTTTCGAATCATATATATATATATAATATATATATATATATATTGAACACGTATAACAATAAATCCTACAATCCAGTAGCTAGTCGAAAGCCACGAGAAATGAAGGAAAACAGCTTCCCCAAAGAATGATCTATACCTATCTTTTATCCAGCGATTGGCATGTCCCACATGAGCAAGGTTGTGCTTGTTCAGGCGAATTTGATACAATCCTCCAATCAAGCTGAACATGTTTGGAACTGCGGCTTTCAATTCTTGGTAATGTGTTCAGCCCGTTCATTCAAAAAATCAAACATATGGGGTGGTAGAGTGTTCTTACAGTATATAACTATTTGAAGGCTTGAGTACTGTACATATACACGCACTCCTCACATGGACACCAACCACATCTCGAGAGTTTTCTTCGAACTTTCGCACCTTTGTTGAGGTTGTTAGGATAAGCCAGCTTGGCCACCACTGCAGTGAAGGCATTGGAGACGGAGCCCTGGAAGAACAAGTTGAAGGCTTGCCTTCGTGACTCCGTGACAGCGCTGGTGATGTCATGGACATCTTGTGATGTCTGCAGGTGTTTTCAAAACGCATGTGGGACGGTGGCTGTAGGACAATGGGAGATTGTTCATTCACTGCGCCCTACTAGCAATGGCCTCCAACAGCAATGGCCTCCAGACTATGCTAGACTGTAATAGATATGACATGATATGACGATGGCTCAGTGACAGGCCTAGTCTCGTTGGTTCTCTGCGACCCGACATGAGTCCGCTGCATGGACCGTTGCAGGCGGGTTTGCCTTTACAAACATGTGCTAAAGCGGTATCGTTTGCAAACAGGGTGGATGCAAACATGCATCGTTTGCCTCCAGAAGGAAGGTGCTGCGTCACATGGCTGATCTACTCATATCTACTCAACACATGTTCAACATAAACGCATGATCTACTGTGAAATCAAGTGAATGAAGTGACCATAGACATCTAGGACCTACCCAGGCCCAGTCCACGGTGGTTCAAATGAGTTCTGGATCCCTTCCAATCCATCACGCAGCCCAGTCACAGCAACGAACGAACTTCCACTGGGGCTGATTCGTACGAGTAGCAATACCTGCAAAGACTACGCACGCCACGGGAGGAACACATGGAACTGCAGGAATAGCACCTCATAGAAGTTCGATTTGTGCTGAAGTGCTGCAGTTTGTTTCAAAACGGTGATTTTTTGGTCTCGACGTACCCTTATCAAACATGACAATAAAACATGAATCGATTGTCTTTGCCAGCGGATGCTATCTAGTTTCTGGCGGTTCGTTGTTTCATCACTCCCTTTCATGTGGCAGTCTTCCCTTTTGGACATCTCCTCAAGAATGCTCAGTCCAACTGCCATAATGTGGTTCCATCATTTCACCCACTCTGTCCAAATAGCACATGTGCAAATTGAATGTGAAAACTCGGCTCAAAATTCATGAATTTTAAAAGCTAGGACATAATCTTCTGTTTTAAATATGTCACTCACATGGTTTTGCTGGGGGTATCTCCTGTCTCGTGACGTTTAGCTCATGACCAATGAAGTGAGAAGGAAACAAAGTACCCTCTGTGCAAATAGTGTGAACACACACAAAACAAGGGACTGTTCGAATCGTTAGAAACAGATTCTCCAACTCGCCTGAGAGTGAGGTGAAATGTGGAATGTCAAACAGAACTGGTCTCGGCCAAGGCGCATGCATGGATTGATAAGGACTTCCTGAGACGGACCACCCACTGACCAACCCACTGGCGACACTCTGGGAACTGGTTCAGCTGTCACACCGTTTGGATCGGCATGTCCTCCAAGACCACAGAGCGCACAAGAGGAGCCACATTCCAAGAATACACTTCCGTTTGGATGTGCACTTTGCTTTGCGTTCCAAACCTTGCGCTTCAATCACATGCTTTTCATGATCAATTGCTTTCTTTCTTTTGGACTTCTGCTTCACTTGAGGCCAGAGGGGGTGAACGAAAGCTAGCCGGGCCTCCTCGTCCAAACAAGTCGGGGGCGGGCTGCACAGTCACTCTCATTGGGTAACTGCCGGTCCACTTGCAAGTCCCGTGGGAAACTCTAGAGAAGCAGTGTTAGTATGTGCTTTGTGGTGCGTCGAGTCTCATTCAGTAAGCAACTGCCACCTGACAGGAGCAGGTTTTGTTTGGTGCCCCCTTTCCATCACTTCTTTGGCTTGGTTTTTCCAGCGGTTGCTGTGCCGCAGCAGCAGCAGACCAGCGGCAGCAGCAGCAGCAGCAGCATACCACCCAGCGCCGCAGCAGCAGCAGCAAAGCACCACCCAGCAGCAGCAGCAGCTGCAGCAGCAGCAGACCACCCAGCGCCGCAGCAGCAGCAGCAGACCACCCAGCGCCAGCAGCAGCAGCAGCAGCAGCAGATCACCCAGCGCCAGCACCAGTAGCGGCAGCCCACCCAGCGCAGCAGCAGCAGCAGCAGCAGCAGACCTCCCAGTAGCAGCAGCAGCAGCAGACTGCCCAGCAGCAGCAGCAGCAGCAGACCCCCCAGCAGCAGCAGCAGCACAAGACTCAAATGACACCGCCTGACTCCACGCCGTAACTAGTCGCGTACGCGGGGTAGGGCTATGATGCAAGAAATGCCGCCTGCACATAGCACCCAAAAAGGTAGTACTGTCCAATGTAGCTCCTGCTGCTGCTGGGTGGTCTGCCTTGGCTGCGTCTCCTGCTGCTGCTGCGGCCGCTGCTGCTGTTGTGTTTGCTGCTGCTGCTGGTGCTGCTGCTGCTGCCGCTGCTGCGCTGGGTGCTCTGCTAGCGCCGGGTCGTCTGCTGCTGCTGCTGGTGCTGGCGCTGGGTGGTCTGCTTTTGCTGCTGCTGCTGCTGCTCTGGGTCTGCTGCTTCTGCTGCTGCTGCTCCTTTGTGGTTTGCTGCAGCTGCTTGGTGGTAGACTGCAGATGCTTGGTGTGCTGCAGCTGCTTGGTGGTCCCGCTCACCGCGCGCAGGGGGGAGTCGAACCGCGGGGGGGGGGTCCATAAGATTGATTTAATCAATTATTTGAGGTTTCTGGGGCGCGTCCACCCCGTCACTTAACTTGCTAAAGCAAGAGCAACTCCAGCTAGCTAAGGCTAGCTTTCGTGATGAGAGGCCCTTTGTCTCGTTTTGAGTTCTTTTTTGTCGAACAGTCCTTACCATTTTAGAACCTGTCCTCACGCTTCAGTGCTCCAACTGCACGCTTTTCATTTCCAGCGACTTCTTCGTAGCTTCTTGCTCCTAGTAGCGTCCTTGCTACTAGTAGTAAAGCCAGGTGCCCCTAATAGTGTCCTTGCTCCTAGTAGCGATGCCCTTTGCTCCTAGTAGCTTCTTGTTCCCTCTTCCGCTTCAAGACGTTTCTTTCCTTCAAGTTCTTCCATCCTATCAGTTTCAAAACCTTGCTTCTGTTTCAGGCTTTGCTAAGGTACTTAGAGGCCGCAAGGCACTTCGTTGATGTATTCCGGGTCGAAAAATCCTTGACGGTCTTTGACGCTCAGGCGCTTAGTGGCTGGTGGTGATGTATAGTGACCCCTCACGTTACTGCAATGGTTCATAGGGCCAAAGGTACACAGGTGCCACGTTATTGTTCGGCGGGTAGATATGTTCAAGACATGAATGTGACTTGAGCCACTGATAACGACAATCCCACTTCAACAACATGTGCCTAGGTAACCTGGATGACTTTCGTATAATGTAATGGTAGCTTGCCAAAGAGCACTTGTACGACTCTAGCACCTTTAAAGCGGTCACTTCGTTTCGATACTCTCCACGTTGCCCTCCACGACACAAAGCACCCGCTCCACGATGCCCTCAACGGAAATACGTCACTACCCACGAACCGCTACGCCGCTACGCCAAGGCTCGGCGATGCCCACCATCGCAAAGGGGATGAAGGTCCAAAAGGCCTTCATTCGAGCTACTAATAGCAATAGCCTCAAACCTACTAGCGATGGCCTCCACCCTAGTAGTGGCCTCCAACCTAATAGCAGTGGCCTCCAACCTAATTACTAGAAGTACGGATATCAAAGGTCCAAAAGGCGCTGATGTCGTTCATCCGGGTGCCATGCAGGCCGTCGTCTGCGTAGCCGGGAGCACATTCGGAGAAGCCGGCGTTGCAAAGGAAGGGAGCCTGGAGTGGCATTGGGACTCAATCCACCCAATTGGACCCTGCATACATCCTGGATAGGTTCAACAATAGGCCATCCTTGGATC